GAGAGAGAGAGAGAGAGAGAGAGAGAGAGAGAGAGAGAGAGAGAGAGAGAGAGAGAGACCACAAGGCTGCCCGACATTTCACAATTGAGTATAATAGTCCAAAAAGTCGTCTGGCTTTGTGGAATCGATTTCATAGTCAATTAAAACAAACTGATCCTTCTGGGGGGTCTATCCCCGAATGAGCACACACACACAACCGAACACACACACACATTCACCTTTTTCAAACAACCCCCCTAAATTAACAGACGAACTGATATCAATCGAACAAGCAAACACACACAGAACCCATAACACCAGTCCCTGTTCTAGTAGCAATTCTTCTTGCACAAGCCCCGTCGTTCCTGAAAGGCCCTCTTTTCTCCCACAGTGCATACAATGTCGTTCAAGAATGGAAGAGGGCGCTTTTTTACTTTCAAAATGTATTTGAAAATATCACTTGGTGTCTGTCCACTGGCCAGGGAAGACACTCCCATGCCCGGTGGAGGGTCCACTCATGGAGATGGCTAGTCTATTTGTGGGGAGCAGCAACTTCTGGGAAGTGGGCCCAGTGTCCCATACACAGTGAACAATTACTCAGATGATCACGCAAACAGCAAAGCATTGATTTCTCTGGCAAAAACAGCCAGGACATAGCACCTCTTCAGCCTCTGTTGGGCTGTCAAGTCCCACCTTTCATTCAAGCCGCCTGTCCTGCCTAAGATACACCATCACTTGCTACTCCACCCCATACCAGTACAGTTAAATAATGCACATTGCACGTCGCCTTCTGGCCATTCTGAACCAAGTCTCTCACTTGACTTGTAGCTTCTAACCAAGCGTCATCAACACAAGACAGCGCCGTCCTGAAAGAACTAGCTTTCTGGCATTCCCAAATGACCTTGTCTGAATGAATGAAGCTGAAGCTGGGGACAAAAAAATGGACAACGAAAACGAAAACGAAAACGAAAACGAAAACGAAAACGAAAACGAAAATGAAAACGAAAACGAAAACGAAAACGAAAAGAAAGAAACTAAAACTGAGATAATCATGAAAACATGCAAAGCGGCCACCTGGTCTTTTGTACTTGAAAATTTGCCTTCGGGACTGTAGCTACAGGTTATGGGTCCAGTGCCCTGCCAAAGTTTATCATCTCTCTGGAAATTTGCAGACTTGCTGGGACTTGGCTGCTCTTTTGACCAACAGACAGTGTTAGACACCCGGCCGAGCAACCTCTGCGGACTTTCTTATCCCATAACTGTTTATTCCCTGACACTTCTAGCATACTCACTCTAGGCCCTCAAAATAGCAGAATCACAAAATCAGCGGTCAGATCTAGTCCTTGGAAAAGGAGGACGCAATCTGGCCGCTGGTTTTGCTATTCTGAGATCTCGAGGGCCTAGTGTGAGTATAGTAGTATACTCCTCCTATCACGGCTTACTTGGAGCTAACCTCCTACGCATCCATGAACATGTACAGGCGAAAGCTATTCTACCTAAGCATTCGTGAATACTGTGCATCTGGCTGAGGCTGAGAATGGAACTGGGATTTGAGACTCAGGATTGGGACTTGGGATACTACTTGGGACTGGGATGCAACTCAGGACGGGGACTCGAGACTGGGACTGAAACTCAACACTGCGAGTTGGTGCAGGGACCAAGACTGCTGTGGTGATATCGTTTCACCCTCGATTCTTGTACGCTATTTCTTTCAATAGCGTGAATCAATAAAGAACTTAAAAAAGCATTTGCAGTAGTATGGCACATACAGAAATCGAGAACTAGTTGCTCCCCTCCCCCCCCCC